GCACTCGCGTGTGTACATCTGTGGGCTTTGACTGCACCGGTGAAAGCAATGAGATATTTTGGGTGGAAAGCCTAGTTGATTTGATTGACACAGCCAGTCCAGACTGCGCCAAAGGTTGGTTCCACTTATGAAGAACTCGGCGCTAGTGGTTGTCTTCAGCGGTGAGATTGAGAATTCGACCTGAGCCCTCTTGAGAATCTGATTAATTCGTGTAGGCAAATTTCTGATGCACCTGTATATTCATGTTCCGAGTAATCTCTATCGACGAGAATAGGTCTCCAGTTTGCCTCTCTCTTATAGTTGAAGTACACACCGATCACGAATTACGAATCGCGTATAAGAAATCAAGTACACCACGTAAGCACTGAATCACACTGACACTTGCACTCAAGGAAAAAGGCCACAGCAGTTCATTTATTGAAAGAAATCATGGGGTTTAAATAATATGTGCAAAACAAGTTCATTGGTCATCCAGGTATCTGCCAATTGCGTTCTGGTACATCTGGCGTCGTAGAGCTTCTGTCTGGGTCACGCGGCTTCTGATTGGTCGGTACAATCGGCCTGTGGATCGCAGTCTAGAAGCTATAAGACGTAGGCGCTTTGGTTGCGTCACTTGGGGGGCTTGATTCATCACAGTTGTCCAGAAATTGTGACATGTCACCCCGTGGTTTGTGTCCTCCCGTAAACTAGTATCACCATAGTATTTCAATTTGTTCATGCCGAATTGGATTAGCAGACGATGAAACAATGCTGTGATAAGGCTGATGGACAGTGAGAAAGGGCTACAGGATGACAGGAACAAAAAATTTCCAGTTCATCGAACTCGAACTTCCATTTTCGCTCTTTCTGTTGTTTTTGTTGATGACGTTTTCCTTCAGAGATTGAATTCAGAATGCCAATTGCGAGAATGAGAATGTGGAAAATGTCAAAATAAGCTAAAAATACTCGATCGCCACCTAACCTAAATCACATTTTCTTTTGCACTCTGTACGTAAATCCGGGAGCTCCACCACAATATGTATTGTTTTATATGGATCCGATTGGTAATTTTATGTCGATTACTCTAGACAACAACCCCGCATTCCGTTACCATAGGCAGACCATAAGATAATTAAAGCTCACATTTTATCAAAAGTCTGAATTTTGATTGCTTGTTTTCACATAGTCCAGTTGCCCCAGAATCAAGTCAACATGTCCGGCTATCCTTCCAAGTTCTCTCAGCATGATTCCAAACTGTCCTGTTGACGTAATCAGCACTGCCAGGTCCGTGTAGTGTCCACATCTCCTAGCGATGTTTGGATGAACAGTACAAATTTCTCAACCTCTTTAGTAGTTGAAGCGGAGGGGGGGGGGAGAGTAAGAGAGTTGTGCGACCTGCATCAGCCCCAAATTCGGTGACACATTTTGGCCGTTTACCTTACCTTACCTTACCTTACGCGTACACATGTGTGCGTTTGTCTTCAGTCTCCTGAAAATCATATCAGACCATAGTGTTCCGTGCTGACACCAATAGATCTTGTGCAATAGATATGCATTTCTTTGTTATCCAGATTCACACCAGGGTTGTGTACTACTTGAAGGTTATATTCCATTTCTCTGTCACTATCGTTGACGCCACAATTCAGTTNACATGTCCGGCTATCCTTCCAAGTTCTCTCAGCATGATTCCAAACTGTCCTGTTGACGTAATCAGCACTGCCAGGTCCGTGTAGTGTCCACATCTCCTAGCGATGTTTGGATGAACAGTACAAATTTCTCAACCTCTTTAGTAGTTGAAGCGGAGGGGGGGGGGAGAGTAAGAGAGTTGTGCGACCTGCATCAGCCCCAAATTCGGTGACACATTTTGGCCGTTTACCTTACCTTACCTTACCTTACGCGTACACATGTGTGCGTTTGTCTTCAGTCTCCTGAAAATCATATCAGACCATAGTGTTCCGTGCTGACACCAATAGATCTTGTGCAATAGATATGCATTTCTTTGTTATCCAGATTCACACCAGGGTTGTGTACTACTTGAAGGTTATATTCCATTTCTCTGTCACTATCGTTGACGCCACAATTCAGTTTTGGCCGTTTGTGTGCCAAACGGTTGTTTCAGTGGGATCTCTATTTCGTGACAATAGACCAACCGGAATAATGGTATTTACCGGCTGATCTAATAATTACAATATGAATGACTGGGCAAAATTCCCCAGAAAGTATACATATATATATATATATATTAAGTAGCGTTGTCGGGGTTTAACTCCATAAAGCACAAGACAAGAGGAGGGGCTATCAAGTCGGTTATCCTATACTATGTTATGACCAAACGGCCACAGCCTGCAAAGCAACAGCCCGGGTTAGGCTCGCCTCGGCCGATGCTTGGTAGTCGCACAAGTCGCTAGAGCGGAAAAGGGCCACTAAGGAAGACTCAGTTACCACTATACCATTGCGCAAATGCGTATTTCGGCACGCTTGAGCACATACCATGAACAGTATGAGATAAATTCAGCGAGATGAGTATCGCTCGATATGGAGTCGTTTGTTGCAGTCAAATCGACGGATCATGCTAGCGATTGCAGCTGTGCAACGAAATAGTCTAAGGGGTTGAATTTATTTGACTTTGTTATAAGACTACTTGGAGTGCACACGAGGTTGGAGAAGATTCTAATAATTGAAGCTAGCTGGAGTAACCTTTTATCGAATTTAAATTCTCGCAAGAGAAAAATATTTCTGTCAAAATCTGTCACACCAAACACATCATAGCCCTGTGGTAGACAAAGTCTACAGTGCATTCGAAAACCGATAAGTCCCGATTTCGAAATTCCGTTTCGTAACATACTACCTAGCTCGATAGAACCCTGATGAGAAAACTGAAAACATTTTTTATCGACTATTCCTTTTTACCTTTAATATTTGTCAATTAAAGTGTGTGGGAAACCTCCCCAGGTATGCATTCATGTCTGAGATGCGTACCATTTTCTCGAGGAACGTAGTCAAGCTCCTTCTTGAAGGTGCTACTATTGACCACATCCACCATAACAATTGGAAGAGTATTCTATGGGTTTGTTAACCTGTCCGACATTCCGTACCTGAGAGGTAACCGGATTGTCGGAAGCTTGAACAGTGTGAGCTTACGTCCGTGTGTCCGATTCCACTCGCGCGGTGAGAATTACTCCATTAGCTCCGGACCCATATCACCGCGGCGGATACGCCGCACACATGATGTCACCAGGAATCAAGTGAAATTGTTCCAGTATCATTCCAAGTATTCTTAGCGTCATTTCAAGCTATCCGGTTGATATGATCAGCGCTCCCATACCCACGTACTGTGCAAGCTTCCTGGCGATGCCGGATGACCACCAGCCAGCACAACCTCTTCAGTAGTCAAGGCGGGGTGGGGTGGGACGGAGACATTTGTGCAAACTGCCTCAGTCACATATGCCCCAAATTTTGAGGCATATATTATCGAATTCAAGGACCACAGTATCCGAAAAGTGCATTTGAAAAAAACATTCCAATTATTTTTACTTGAAATGAAGTCACGTAACTATCACAGTGTTAAAAGTCCACAAGACGGTGCCGGTATAGGGTAATTATTTATAATGAATAACGGTCAGGATATTTATCGGTAAATTGGCATACATATGACAAAATGTCTCATTTGGAACGGGTCTTCCGAATTCCCACAAGCACACAGGATAGTTAACGGAACGACCTAACAGTAGATATGCATTCCTGTAGTTACGATACTGAACACAGCAATTCGCTCCCATTGGTCTAGCGCACTTTTGACCGTTGAATGAAACCGTCAATCGCATCCTCTTACGAACCACTCACAAATGTGGGTAGTACCTTACAATACTGACATATTTCGATAACTCTCGTTCAGTTTGATTGTTCGGCACACAAACGGCCAAAACTGAATTGTGGCGTCAACGATAGTGACAGAGAAATGGAATATAACCTTCAAGTAGTACACAACCCTGGTGTGAATCTGGATAACAAAGAAATGCATATCTATTGCACAAGATCTATTGGTGTCAGCACGGAACACTATGGTCTGATATGATTTTCAGGAGACTGAAGACAAACGCACACATGTGTACGCGTAAGGTAAGGTAAGGTAAGGTAAACGGCCAAAATGTGTCACCGAATTTGGGGCTGATGCAGGTCGCACAACTCTCTTACTCTCCCCCCCCCCTCCGCTTCAACTACTAAAGAGGTTGAGAAATTTGTACTGTTCATCCAAACATCGCTAGGAGATGTGGACACTACACGGACCTGGCAGTGCTGATTACGTCAACAGGACAGTTTGGAATCATGCTGAGAGAACTTGGAAGGATAGCCGGACATGTTGACTTGATTCTGGGGCAACTGGACTATGTGAAAACAAGCAATCAAAATGTTTACTTACAGGAGTAGCGCATGCTATACGGAAACACTGAAGTCACATGAGTTTTACGAAGTGGTTTGACGCTACGGGCACATTGGTTAAACGATCTCCAGTCAACATGTGTTGCAGCCTGTTATTGCCATTTCTTGGAAATAAGTTTTTTCAACATTCTTTGACCTCGGGATTTTCCGATACTTTTTGATTTTACTCGCCCGCAGCGGCATGACTAAAGTTTATGTCCACTGAGGTTCAAGGAGTACCACAGGTTGTGGCTAAATTATTGCGGATTTTCGCTAAAGCTTGATGGGAAACGGTGTCATACATGATGTCAATGGAAGAGTTCACCATAATCAGTTTAAGAGATCAGACGACAGTCAAAATGAATGTTTTTTATGGAAATCAAATTCTTCTAAGTTTTATTGGGTGAGCTCTCAATGAATCGAATGTGCACCATTCAAACCGTATTCGAATAAACCCGACGTGACTGTTATTTATCAGTGCGGATAAGATTATTGTGTAAATTTGTTTTCTTATTGTGATTTGAGTACTGAATGAAATTTGTTCAATATTATCTTATTGTCCATTTTAATTCTTTATTCCTCTCTCGTTGCTGGCAAATTTGATGCGTCCAACAGCCATATTTGCGGATGGATTGATTCGCTTCCAGTTGTCTAATCAGAATTGTCATCAACAGGGCTGGGTGATCAGTTTGGGTCCGAGAACGGAGAATATTTGGATCAATGAACTTTTAGACGAAGCAGGAGAAGAGGCCATGTTCGCCGCTGAATCTGTCCATTCCATGCCCGCACGTGAAGATCAAAGTGTATCCGATGTGGAAAAACAGTCACGCGACTTGCTAAGTCCCGAATCCTGTCAAGGTCGCGCGGAGATCGGCACGATTCAACACAATTATTCTAACGGGAAACCGTTTTTGCTACGGTTCACAGACCAGACGGATATTATTTTGTATCCTTTTCCATTCTGAATAGCGGGGGGGGGGGGGGTNGGTCTGAAGATTGTTTATTACTTCCTCAGGCAGTTTCGAAAATCGTTTTTATCTGGCGTTACAGAGATAGAGAGGGAGTTATCCTTGCTCCTCATACTGCGTCACTCTTGATAGCTAAATTAATGGAAGAGTTCTCTGTTCCCATCCCCTTTGGGTGACATTTGAGGCTTTTTGATCGGCTGCCTACAGGTTAATTGATTACTAGTCAAGCGAATAGTTTCACAGGTAAGTGGCACATTAATTAGAAAGTAAAGTACCTGAGCATAGTTCAAATTCTGAACAAAGGTCCTTTCGTGACCTTTCTCGTTTGTTTATGGGTGTCAGTGTATCTGGGAAAACTTTCTTCTATCTATTCATATACTCCGGCAAATGAGGATTGTTTATCTCTCAAAGAATACCATCGGAACTGTATCGAACTCGTCCATATGGATTTCATTTTACGTGAACTATGAGTGGGTTTCTAAGCTTGTAATCGCTATATATTGATGGGTCGCTTACATCAGTAATAAATTGCTGTCTCGATCGATCTGATATCACACTGATACCACATTTCAGCAACCCGGTAGACTGGCTAAAGAATGTTTCGATTACCTTGTTACAACATAATTCATATGAATAGCAAAAGTTCCCTTATCCCAATTAGATGAGGTAATCAGCATTAGTATTTAAACGCGCATGTGATCGTGCCTTAGGGAATTTTATTGGTCCCTACTACGCGTTTCTCACTGGTCACCACAATGCCTTTTCGAACGGCTACTCGATTATCGCTATCTAGGTCATCAGCTACACTTTGACTCCTTGCAACTTGGTCAAAGTTTCGCCGTTTCATGGGCTCATAGACTGTAATTTTTGGTACGCTGCTTGCTTAACCGTTCCTAATCGCTTCCATAAGCGGTATTGTTCTTTGGCGGGTGGGTCGATTGAACAACCCTGGGCCTTTTGATTTGTTTATTTGTTTTCAAACAGCCCAAATAAGCATAGGTAATATGGGTCTGTGAAGAGTTCTTCCAATCCGGAATACGGAATTCCACAAAAAGCGAACAAATTAGCCTTGACAATGATGTGTAAACTTCATCCGATGATGCGGAATTCAACTGTCTGATTTCAAACATCCTGATGTGCTCAGAACTACTTCCGATTTGCAGTGCACGACGACAGTAAAGTAAGACTCTTTCCCGTCCACTAGTTTCTTTAATTTCCGCAAATGTATTCTCCATCAATACCTCACAGAATGATCGATACAATGCGGCATATCAAATTTCCCAACCAATGGTCACAGGAACTTCAAAAAACAAAGTGACAATGTGTGCGGCTCCTCTTAGCTTGACTCCTATTGTTGGTACCTAAAACGGTATACAGTCTGCCTTCGTACATCTTCCTCATCTGCCTCCGTACATCTTCTCGACTCGGCTTTCAAACCGGCGAATCCTTGAACACTTAGCCAGCCACGTGCTGTATGCCTCTGTAAGCCGGATGGGTGACTTAAAACAGAAAGATCAGTACTATCCGTGTGGCCTCTTAGCTCAGCTGGTAGAGCGTGCACTGCACAAAAATGGCATAGGTGACGTCCATGCATGGATTCGAATCCCAGCGAGGTTACTAAACTTTTCACAATTCCAATATAAGACTTCTATCTGCCAAACAACAATCTGAACAATTATCAGGCGGGTTCGGATAGAGAATACACACGCACACACACACCGTATAACCTGAACCCCAAGAAACATCAACCAACATTTTGTAGTGAACGAGTAGTGGACAACAGAATTCCCATGATGATGTAATATGATGTCATCCTGTTGGCTGCTGACCGGTTGCTAGAGGAAAGCTTTCCCAAGTAAGAATTCAGCCAATGGAAAGTATAATTAGTTCCTATTGACCGATGGCTAATAAGACTGCTCCGAACATCACAGATTCCCCTTTGTTATTCCGTCCGCTGAATCATCCTTTCTTCGTTCCGATACAATGACAGAAATCATTTCAAGCACGTGGTGAATACCAATCAGTTTTATGTCCTTGAAATGACCATTTTCGAATTAGGTGAATGAATTATATTATTTGTTACCGCTTGAGTTTTGATCTTTACCAACTCTTAAATTTATGATAGTAACTGTGTGCAGTCCTTTGACGCTGCTTTCTAATATTTCTTCCAGTCTCATTTCAGATCCTTGAGGTATGAAATTTTCTACTTTGTTTTTCTCCTTCCTTGAGAACCAAAGCGTTTCTGATCGGATGGAAACTAGACGGAGTAGGTTGTCCCAGGTGGGTAGACCTTTTCTGTGTCTTGTAGATTCCTGCATGTCTTAAGAGACAGAGAGAAAAATGTGGTCTAACTTTGTAATCCAGAAGGATACGTTTTCTTCAAACTTCTGTTCGACAGATTGAAGTCTGATTTTGAAATTGTGAAAAAATTACTAGCCTCGCTAGGGCTCGAACCCATCTACTCACGGAAGCCATCTACACCTTTGTACAAGGCATGCTCTACCAGGCGAGATACGAGGCCACACCGACAGCACTGATCTTTTCACATTCGAATCACTCATCCAACTTACATGGGTATATGACATCCACCAGGTAGCATGTAAGCTGACTGCTATGACAAAACTTCCGGAGCCGGGCGAATAAACTTCTAAGGTAAAGTTATTCGTTCAGATTGTTGTTTGGCAGATTGATTTCTCATGTTGGTGGTCTGAGTGTGACCAATGATGGTTCAAACCTGCGCACTAACTGTTCCCCCAATGGTATGTTCATTCCGGATCACAAATCTCACTGGGGATAGAACCGCTATCATCCCGGGGCAACAGGATGACTTATACTGTGCTTCACGTACCATAAACAAATTGAAACCTTGCAAGGTCTCAAGGTAATCTTGGCTTTATTACTTCAGACTTCATTTCTGTGGACCACAGACCACCCGAATTGTCTACTGAATTATCCGCTTCCGGTCCAAGCTTTCAAAAATAGGAATAATCCCTTTAAGTAGTCTGTTCTGATACAAAGGACTGGTCAGGGTTCAAATCGGAATAGAGTTAAAAAATAGTTTGTGTATCTGTAGTAATCGGAATAGTATTGAATATAGGAATATAAGAACATGTACGGTAATACTCAGAACTAGATTGGCTCCCACCCGGATTACGGACAGCAAGGAAATCCACGCATAATTGATAGCATCAAGTGTCAATCTTTATTCATAGAATTAGGGCATGTTTTACAGAAAACAACAAGCCATATCATTGGTGGAAGAACCATCGTCCAATCACGTAACCGTTTGCGCAGACCCATCGCATGTACCAAGTCTGATGTAATGTTCACCCGGTGTAGTAGCTCTAGTTTAGAATGAACACGGTTGTTCTTTGCCTGACTCTAGCCATACCTACCATCGGTTTGATATATTTGTGCGTTGAGTGACCTCACATATAGCTCAGATCGTCAACAGATGGACAACGTGTGTTTCCATATAGATGACCTGCTATATTACCTCCCTCCTTCGTGGGAGTGCCCCTGGTTGATCAGATGACGAGGCGAACAACATTTGCCACGCATCACAGAAATTCAATGGGCTTAAACCAAAGAACCTTCTGCTATGAGGAGCTTTTCACACTAACATGTATATTTTTTCATCCATATTTTAGCATTCCTAATAAAGTTCGTTTGGAAACACCAATTCTGAGCAAAGTTTTAACGTCGATATGGATGAAAAATTACTGGAGGCAAGATGAATTCATCTGTTTTCTACCGACTTCTTTAGGGTTTTTAGACCACTCGTTCGTTATATTCTCTGGTTGCAGATACCGCACCGGAAGGGATTCCTGCCTCTTTTTTCGCCATTTTTGCTATAAGTAGCACAATCTACATAGAATATTTTGATCATTCTTGTCATATAAGTATATGGTATCGATGGGGAATACATAGGCGGAGATGTGCCGAGAAACGAGGGGATTCTGTAATTCTGTCGTGCACTTTAGAAATCCTTTTGAAGGGAGCATTGGTAAATCAAAAGTCAAAAATAACTCACATTCTGGTAGACTTGATGTCAAAGTGTCTAGAAATTTTTTTGGAAACAGGCTGTTAATTGCTATCATTGAACGAAATGACTTCGTATCGGTCGATTTTCGTCCGCGTCGCGCAGATATTCGTAGGATGTACTCCTTTGTTTCTATTTTTCTACCGGATCATTTCGTCCTAATCATAAGAAAAGGGAACTTACAGTGTAGGTATCCACTTGCGCAATGGTGATGACATCAAATATTCATTTCACCCGAACGCCAGATGACACATCCAGTCGATTTGAAATACAATCACGAACGGGCGTCGACATCGGCATGTCGCTCTTAGCCTTGTCTCATAATGTTAGTTTAACCACGCTGGTGATGTCCCCAAATTGGTTCAGTAAAAATCACGTGATGCACAATCCTCTTTTTAGCACCATGATCATTCGACTGATCAATGGCCGCCCTTGAATTCGATCGCCACAGTCAAATCACGATGGGTTTCAACTTGGCTATTTTACCAGCCTTCGATCGATTGCCTAACAATGCAAACAATGTCCTAGTTTTAGGTCACGCAGGTATGAACTATGCCACAGTCAAGATTTATCTTGTGAAAGGGCTTTGCGAAAAGCAAGCGTGTCTTGTGAAACACTACCACCTGCAAATCGTTTCTTTTTTGAGGGCAACAGTGACCATAATGAATTCAACGTATCCCTCTGTGTACATTGTGTGTGCGTGTTTGTGTGTGTGATCGATTTATATCGTGATGTTAGAAAGACAAGCACCGGTGACAACCATAACAGGCATACTGTCTACCTCACAATGATCTTAAGACTGTCGTTTTCCATCAGGTTTCACTTTTAGTGAAATACAGTAAATTCTAGCAAGAGAATTTTGCGGCGGGAGCAGCCAAGCACTCTCCTTTTGTCAGGTGGTGGTGGTGATGGTGGTCGAGCGATTAAGGTCACCAACTCATCGACACGATGTGCGTGTGTTCAAATCCCACCATCATCTGACTACCCATGATCTCGGATTGGCCGCTTCCCCTTCCTGAAGACTTTCCCGTTAAATGAAAATGAAAAACGGTCTGATCAGCTGCCCCGAGGTGACTGAGTGGATAGCACGTTTGCGTTCTGCCTGTGAGGCCCCGGGTTCGCGGTCCCCAGTTGGGTCGATGGATTCGCGCACTGCATTGATGAGACCCAATCAGATAGAAACAGCTACCTAGCTATGCTTCCTAGCTTTTCAGTTCACGCATCATTTGCTCTCTATACACGAATTCACCTTTGAAATTAAATGGAAGTAAAAATAAAATGGATAAAAATAATACTACTAGTAACATCATCCGAATGGACAAGTTTTTGGTTTCAACTGTCCCAATCACCATGGATGCAACCAAGATGAACATGTTTGGAGGATGTTGAATGCAGGAATGTGCAGTGAATCCGCTGAACCAAAAGGCACAATCCAACACATCTTCGAATATTCTCACCTGCTTAGAAATGATATAAAGAGTTCTGTGGTTATCAGCTGACTACCATCCCTTTCGGTGTCTGCACCAAGTAGTTATAGAATCATCCGGACAATATAGCCAGTGGGAGTAATTGGCACTGGGTCCCTATGTGATCTGATCTAATCTACGAAGAATCGATATCCACTATAGAAAACTGAGTCTAAGATGAATGCAAGCAAGCCAATCTAGACCCAGCAGAAAATCAGATGTTTGTTGCCACTGAACTTTCGTTGTCCAACACCTAAACACAACCTCTGCCAACAACTAGCCAAAGCTTTTTAACCGACTAACCAGGATTAGAGTGTTTTGTTCTGGATTTTATCAATACAAACCATCCAGCCATCCGTTACTGATGACGATAAAATTCTCATCGCAAATTTAACGTAGTAGACCATGACTATCAAGGTGATTTAGCTATCCAACCGGAGACCCGGCCATTGTTCTCCTCCCGAACTCCGTATCCAATCAAGTGGGCTCAGATGGTTTGTTGTGCATGCTACATGACATTCCGCCTCCCGCGTCAACTTTGATTGTGACGTCTCAGATGCGGTCGAAACGAGCAAGACGTCGAATTGCCGAGGCTGGGGTTGATCCGAACCTTCATTTCTCGAAACCAGCTATAGCTGGCCGCTTATTGGCTATTTTGAATTCTCAAGGTCAAGGAACAATCTACCAATCAGATGGCAAAATTCAGTAAGTTTCTTTCGGCGGGTTATGAATGTTTAAAAACGATGTATTGTTTTATATTCCAAGTGTTATACGAAAACATGTCTTGTGATTACTCTAAAGTTAAAGATATGAGGTGAGATAGAAATCTTTCAAACCAGAAGGAATAGGTACAATCGAAATACCATGATACTTTCAAGATTACTGAGGAATTCACTTTCTCGTACTTGCGTTGCTCGTTCATCAAAAATGTATACACTTGTAAACATCTGTGATGGTTTCGTAATGACTTCTGTCGTAAATAAAACTGAATAAATGTGGTTTGGAAAGCTTGGAAGAACTGTGCACATGTTTTGAACTGATTGAGTTGCCTCAGAAAAGTGCATCTAACGATCCGACTTAGGATCACTCCCGGAATTCTGTAAGTTGTAACCACTCGACCATCAGGCAAGTGATTAGACAGGTTCACTTTGTCCAGATGCGATATACTATCTTGAAATCAGTAATCAATTTCGGAATGTATCCAACTGAATCATAACCCTGGCGGGTACTGCTGAAGTGAGGTGAGATGCCCGAAACAAGCTAAAGAATACATGTTGTGTTATCCCGAATTAAGCCCTTGACCAGACTAAGATAAATCATTCGTGAGGACTGATTGGGTTTACCTGCTTATATCGAGGACGGCATGGTGTGAGTGCAATCTGATTGGTGCACATCAAGGTCAAGCAGACAACATACATGTAGTATTGATCTATGTGCAGGTCCTCGATGGGGTTAGATTAAAATGAAAGTCATTTTTGCTGTTCAAATTTCCATCTATTAGATTGATGTCCTAGTAACTTCAGGTTAATAATTGTTTTTGTTTACATGTAGTCTTTCGTAGAAAATCGGACTTCAGAGAATTTGAATTACTTCAACCGAATTAACAAGAATTTCGAAAATTGATCTATAAACTACAGGAAGAAACTGTTACCGACATCCATTGCTTGAAATATATGTAGATATTTGCCATCATTTTAAAACGTACGATATTGCCTACTCAACACAGTCTGCTGTTGACGGAGTTGGTTCGACATAACCTAGAGGTGGTGGTTTATAGTCAGATCGAAAAAGACGGAAACCGAATTGTGACATTAACGCATTAACGTCCACAGCTTTATCGATGTCTGTTTAATTGCGCAGTGAGTTTAGATTAAAATATGCACACGCTGCCATATGGTTTCTGTTAATTTCTTTGCCAACATATATGATCGACATGAGCGTCTCTTGACTTGCCCCCAACAACTGGGGAGGGAAGACGACTGAGAAAGCGACAGTCGGAGTATATCATTGATCATGAAGCAATACGCAAATATAGGTGGTAAATTAGGCGTATCAGAAACGACGTGATGACGCACCAATCAGGTTGCGACCTTGATAATCCGATTGGTCGATTGGACGACAGCTGTCTGGTTCGCCTTAGTCATCCAATCCGGAATCGATTCGGCTTGGACGTCAGGAGCGCACTAGTGGTGTGACGCGGGTTGATGCATGGCCTGACGGGTTCTGTGCACTCCGTCCTAACAGTTCCCAAACAACCAATCAAGATCCGTGGAAGACGAACCAATCTGGTTCACCCAAGCACATGTCATTCGATTGTCTGATCACGGAAAAACTAGCACACGGAACATATCCATTGCGATTGGATAAACCTATGAGTGTGATATTTATCTGTCCGCGTTTTTTAATAGCACTACTGTACCCACTGGTCGTCTTGGTTCGGCCTGACTGTCATTTGCCATGAATTTTCAGCCTGAATCCGAGTTCGCTTTTATCAAGTTTGAACACTATTCTGACTGTCTTATTACCTCAATCACTTCCCGTCCATCGCTCACCAGACTGAGTCGAGAAACTATAGTTCACACATCAGCACAGTGCAATGAACTTTAATAATTTATATGAGAGTAGTGGAGGATTATGTATGGCCATACTTTGAATTTGAAGTGTGAACTGAAGAGCTTGG